TGCCGGCCCCTGGAGGATGGGCTCCCCCTTTGGGTCTGGTTCCTCCCAAGGTTTCTTCCTCTTAGGGAGATTTCCTTGCCACCGTTGCCTTTGGCTTACTCAATGGGAGGTCCTTACGAGGCAGAAATGTAAAGCGCATTGAGACAATGTAATGTTGTAAATAAAATTGAATTGAATTGATTTCCAAACAGTACACAGAGAGCTCAGTGGACCACAGATGTATTCTGAGGGACCCTCTGAGTCTCTATCACACAGGGATTTTGAGGCAGAAAGTATGTATTTGTCATCAGAGGATTCTGAATTAGAAGACACAACAATCCACACGAAACATTTGACTTTAGTAAGGAGTTGAGAATATGGGCATGCAAACATAAGTTATCCAGATCTGCCATTGGTGACATGTTAACACTACTTCGAAGAGCAGGTCATCAACTTCCAAAGGACCCACGCACATTTCTGTCAACACCACGGACTGTTACTGTGCAGGAGAAATGTGGAGGATATTACTCCTATTTTGGCCTAGAGTTTTACATAGAGAAAATAATATCAAATAACCCTGCATACCTCCAAGACCATAATTCAATTGAGTTACATGTCAATATTGATGGTGTACCTCTCTTCAAGTCAACAAGTGATCAGTTTTGGCCAATACTGCTGACTTTCAGTACTTTTCGACCTTTTTTGGTAGCAGTTTTTTTAGGGGAATCAAAACCAAATGGTGTAGGTGATTTCCTTGAAGATTTTTTAGAAGAATACTCCAGATTAAAGGTGTCAGGAATTAGGGTGATGGACAAAGTGTTGACTGTGTCAGTCAAATGCTTTATTTGTGATACACCTGCAAGGTCATTTTTGAAGTGCATCAAAGGACATACAGGTTATCATTCGTGCGAAAGATGTGTGGTGAAAGGCTCTTGGAACAAAAGAATCATTTTGTACACCCCACAACCATTGCCAAAAAGAACTGATGAAGCTTTTAGCCAGGTTGCATATGGAGAAACACATCAGATTGCAAAATCACCACTGATTGATGCTGATATTCTTTGCATAAAAGGATTTCCTTTGGACTGCATGCACTTGGTCTGCCTTGGAGTGGTAAGAAGAATTCTGTTGTTTTGGAAAAATGGGCCTAGATCTTGTAAGTTGTCCAAATAGCTACTTGATGTTATATCTAAGAATTTGAAGGATTTATCACAAAAGTTGCCTTTTGAGTTTGCAAGGCAGCCACGATCATTGGACGAACTGGACAGATGGAAGGCCACTGAATTCCGGCAATTTCTCTTGTATACTGGTCCTGTTGTTCTGAGGAATGTACTTCCAAATAACACCTACAAGCACTTCCTAACACTAACCGTGGCTATGTCAATCCTTTTGGACGAAGACAGTACAAAGCGTAATTATTTTTTGAGGTATGCAGATGAACTTCTAAATTACTTTGTGAACAGTAGCAGAGAAATTTATGGAGAAAGCTTCATTGTCTACAATGTACATCCATTAATCCATTTAGCAGATGATGTAGAAAATCACAGACGCTCATTGAATGATATATGCGGGTTTCCATTCGAAAACCATTTGCAGAGTATTAAGAAATTGGTGAAGAATTCCCAAAACCCAATAGCACAGGTGGCAAAAAGGCTAGCTGAGGCTGATGAAGTAGGTGCCTCTTGTCATCATCAAAATACACACTTCAGGTTCATCTCAACAAGGAAAAGAGACAACTGTTTCTTACTTGAAAGTGGTGACTTTGCTTTCATTCAAGAAAAAAGAGATAATGGATGCTATGTTTGTGACATAGTAAGACAAGAAGACACTGAGGATTTTTTCAGCCATCCTTGCAGATCGAGTATGTTCAACATTGTTTACTTAAATGAAAACACAATAAGAAAAAGAAAATATTTTCGCATAGCGCAGTTGATGCGAAAGGTGGTCTGTCTTCCATATCGGAATGGACATGTGTTGCTGCCGCTGTTACATGGTGATGAACACTATTGAAACGGTAAGTGCTGATGTTCCTTTTTGTCCAGATTTTCACTAGGCAAGAATTTAGAAGTAGAAAATGTCTTAATGTTTTCTAACCAATTTATGTCAGCAAGAGAGCTTTATGTTTGTTTGAACCATCACCAATAAGAAACTGTTATTAAAATTTTACTGTAAATTTATTTTCTGTCCATAGCATGGAGAGAATGAAATGGGCACGGGCTGTCTGGATAGAGAATTCCCGCGAAGAAGAGGGTGTTGTTCCACTAAACTGGATCAAAGACAAAAATGTGTTTTGGCCAGCGGTCACCAATGCTAGTGTTTTACACAAGAGGTGCGCTGAGCCCGATGTAGAAAAATTGAGAAAATTTAAGCTTATAAAGATAAAACATTCATCTGGTAAGTGAATTTTATGTACATTGATTTAAGTAAAAGCAATGAAGAAAACATTGAAAGTGTTTCTTTCTTACTTTTCAGTCAATATGGAAGAGTGTGAAGAGTATAATATAACCACGGCTGTTGATAATACTGACAAAGAAATTCCTAAGAAGCGCCAGGCTAAGCGAAAACACACAAATGACAGCGACCTCATAAGTAATGGTATATCAGAACATCATTAGAAAATTTCAGATATAATATTTTTCTGTAATCAAATGCTTCATAATAAAATGTGTAATTGTGGATGTGTCCAAAGGTTTGACTTTTTGATATATGCTCAGTATGTTTTTTAACTTTGCTATGTTTTATTTAAACATGGAGTAATTGTACACTGTATGTACAATATTACAGAGTCTTGGAAATCAAACTCCAGAAAGGAGTAGCAGTACTCCTTTGCCAGAAGTCCCAGACGTACCAAAACCTCCACCTGGTAAGTCCAGAGCAAAGCCCATCCTTTCTTCAAGCTCTGAGGACTCCGAATCGGACAAGGAAACACAAACAATTATAAGGTATGAAATCTGTATTTTGTGGATGGTTCTAATGAAAAGTGTGAGGAAATTGTAAGGTTTAGATTGAAAGGAGCACATTTTCCATTTAGTCAAATTGTGTATATTGTGACGAACAATCACCGGGCATCCCATTCACCATCGCATAGAGGTCACCGGACATCCTGTTCACCATTGCATGGAGGTCATCGGACATCCCGTTCACCGTCGCATGGGGGTCACCAGACATCCCGTTCCCCATTGCGTGGAGGTCACCGGACATCCCGTTCCCCATTGCGTGGAGGTCACTGGACATCCCGTCCACCGTCGCGTGGAGGTCACCGGACATCCCATCCACCGTCGCGTGGAGGTCACCGGACATCCCGTCCACCGTGGCATGGAGGTCACCGGACATCCCGTTCACCACCACATAGAGGTCACTGGACATCCCGTTCACCTTCAGTTAGATGTCACCAGGAATTGCGATCATCTTTACAAAGAGATTACCAGTCATCACGGTCATCCTCAAGAACAGGTCACAAGAGACGTCAGTCTTCTCCATGCTCTGTGTCTGACTTAAGCAGGGAAAGTAACAGGTAAATACTTGTGATTAGAGAAAGACAGACTTTGTGGAGATTGAACTGCTGTGTGTTAAGTTTTCACAGTATATGTTTTTATTTCGTTCGTGATGGGGCAGTTGGTGGCCTAATGGTAGAGTGTTTGCCCCGTGATCAGAAGGTCGCTGGTTTGAATGCCAGACCGGTAAAATTACCACTCTGGTACTCATGAGCACAGTACTGTCCTCAAGCACTACTTGGGGCAGTTATTGGTGTAACAGTAGGATGTTTGCCCTGCAAACAGAATGTCACAGGTTCAAATCCAGGATTGGTAAAGTTACCACTGAGGTACTCCTGAGCAAGGTATCATCCTCAACCTCCTCTTGTTAGCTCCCCACTGCTCCTTCATGGATGGGTAATTTTACAGAGGTCACATTTCACATTTCGTGTACTATGTGTGGTGTGTTCACAATGATAAATAATCACTCACTTTCACTTATTTTTGTTCTAGTGGCAAGTTCAGAGAATGTCCTTCACAGATGCTTAGTGCAACTAAATCTCACCATGACAAATTTCCAATGACAGAAGAAAGTAAGTAAAAAGACCAAGTTTAGATAGTGGATAATCGAAACACAAATGTAATGTCCTGCCCCCCTTGCTTTTGTATCGCCTGTAACATCAGGGTTTCAAAAAAGGTGCCTTCATCTTCTATTGGAAATAAAAGATCTGCTGGCACACCAAAATAGGAAACTTCAAGTGGAGGAGAGAGGACATGTACCAGAAATTGTCCAGATGGGCAGCCTTGATGCCTTGTACAACTTTGAAAATGAGTTGCGAGATGAAAAAAAGAGAGAGAGATGGGTAAGAAAAAAATCTCATTTTTACTCTATGAAGAACAGCAAATGTTGAAAATAGGTACCTGGTGGAATGTGGATTAACAGTGGATTAATTCTGTCGCTATAGTATAGATGAATTATTGAAGAATATTTATTCACCATTATGTAATGCATTAAATTGATGCAAGATTACTAGTTCAGTTCATTATTTACTTGACAAATTACATTGCCATGGTGCATGTTTAGGCATATCTATTCACATGATTGCTGTTATAGTCACAGCTGCAAAGCTTTTCTTGTGACTAAATTTGTTGGAAACAGACATCAGCAAATAATAATGTTGAGATCTTCATTACCTAGTTAACCACTGTGCTGGTAATAGAAAAGTACTTTATTAGTAATTATTTAGTCACTTTATTTGTGTTTATTTTAAGTGCAAATGTATTCGTTTTTAAATAGTATTTTTTAATCATTTTTGAAGGAACCCCAGAACATTCAGTAACAAAACATGTATCAATAAATGCTCTATGTTATATGTGATTTCAGTTTAACAAGTGCATGACAATTGGTGGGGCTACTCCGAAGGACATGGTGAAAAATTTGACCAGCAGGTATGTTTCAACATCACTATGTATTTTTATCATGTTTCCCAAATACCTGTCTAGTACATGCACCATTTGACCAATTAAAGCCATTATCAATTACTATTAATATTTTAAAATAAAAGCCATGTAAGTTTAAGCTAAAAATCACAGCAGACTGCCTATTCAACCTGCCTATTCATTGTCATATACATTTTTTCAGAAGTTATGTAACAATAAGGTATAGTAGAGGTTGACTGACATGGGATTTTATATAGCCGATGCAACAATATTTTGAAGTCAGGGTCAGCCAATGGCCGATATGCTGGCAATTACTTTTTCTCATGAGGTTTTCTGAATCGTGCATCCCTAACAACCAGCATTCTACTCACAATACAGCCATTTATTGAGAGTTTCCCATAGAGTTTCCATAGTTTTTTTTCTGTAACACGCGCTAAACGCTATATTGTGACGCGACGCAGAGGGGGAGGTGATTGTGGAAAATGTAGTTCTCTTCCAGGAAGGCCAAAAGCAGCACATTTTTATAGGCCAAATTGGTTCAAAATGACGAAAAACTTCAGTATTTCTTCAATTACATTTTTTTTACTTCAATTTTGTTATAGTGTAATCAATAGGAAAATGTTATTCTATATTATTCTATATTCTGATTGATAGATAGTGTCACAGGTTAGAATGTTACACCACAGATAATAGACGATAGATAAAAACTCTGCAACTCAGCAATAAAATAATGTTCTTTTATTGTTCTTTCAGTACTTTTATTTGACCTAAACCTAGAAAGAGTCATTTTTCATCAGAAATGTGCTGATTTCATAACTCAACATTTACACATCCAACTATGACAAATCCGAGTAGTGCAGGGCATCTGAAATACAAGAACATAAAGCATTTATTGCTAACTTCTACTCACACGCTAAAAACAAGCCTAAATAAGCCTAAAAACAAATGTATTGTCTTTTTTTTATTATCCGGTTACTCGATTAATCGATAAGAAAATCGATAGAATACTCGATTACAAAAAGAATCGATTGTTGCATCATTAATAAGCGTCTGTGCCAAACTCAAGCCGCACATGTTCTAGTGAGTGAAATAAATTACACAAAGCTTCGATTCTAGAGAAATTGCTTAGGCCATTTTTAGTAATCAAATTATTCGAGTTATTTGAATAATCATTTCAGCCCTACAGCAGATATCAGCTTGAAATATAGTGCAAATCTAAGTATCGGTCCAATGCTGATGACATTAAAAAATAAGCAATTTCGGTCGATTCTGATGTGATTTTGATGTTATTTTGTATCCCTCACTAAAATGTCTGCTTATAATATGAAATCACACTCGTATTGTATCTACAACAATTGTGTCAGACATTAATTGATACAATAATTTCCTTAGATCATAGTTTGAATACCAGGTAGATCTTATTTTCCTTTTGTTAATCATGTGAAATAGTTCTTTGAAGATAAATAGATAAGTTTGTTCTCTTCTAGATTCTTTACCAATTCACTTATGTGTCAACTAAACATGAAGGGATCACGAGGGGATAAAATATCATTTGAGAAGACAGCGCTGTGCAAATTAATAACTGGTAAGTAATTGAACAGTGCCTTATGTGGTCGTGTCTTTTTTTATATCGACATAATGATTGTATTGATACATTGAAGTCCATGCATCTGAATTATACTAAACATTTTTGTCCTTTGATTGACAGACAGAGTAGTAAAGGCCCATGATGTTACAGAAGCCTTTGCCCTCAGCATCATTGCCAACCGGTTGAGAAATGCACCTAAGAGGAAAGAAAGACTGGACACAGTGTAAATGTTATTGTATTTTTGTTTATTTTGGTGTTTTAGACAGTTGTCTATCTTGTCTTAGCTGTTCTGTTTGTTTCATTAGTCTTAATTAGTATTGGCATTTTTATAAGTTATGTCAGTATTATGCACTACACCCAGTTTTTATGTGCATTTTGTATTGTTTAGAACATAAGAAATTTACAAACGAGAGGAGGCCATTCGGCCCATCAAGCTCGTT